TTTTTTTTTTTTTTTTTTTTTTTTTTTTTTTTTTTTTTTTTTTTTTTTTTTTTTTTTTTTTTTTTTCAAGGGACATTGAATAAAACTCACTTGAACGGCAGCGATGCCGACAAACGAGTTGAGAATGTTGTCAAAGATCGTTTTGTCTTTGCTCGTGATTATGTGGACTATGTCGACGCCGCGGGGTTTCAGGGCCGCGTCGCACTTTCTTATCGCCTCCGCGAATACCGGCAGCCGCATCAGAGCCTTTCCTGCACAGTTCGAAACACGTATGTATGAACTCGCACATTTTACATGAATGAGGTAAATGTCGTCTTACCCATTCCCGGCCACTGCGACCCCATGCCGGAGAAGACGAACCAAACGGGCTTCTTCAGGCCCAAGTAGTTGCCGATTTCGCGAGTTTTGTTCTGCACGAGTCCCCGGGCGGGCACGATGGTGTAGCCTCGGAACAGGTGGCCGTTTATGTCGTCCGAGTGAATGTCGTGCAGGAGCCTCATGTACTCGACGTCGGCTGGTCGGCTCTCAATCTGCCAAGGCACACCGAGACAAACGAGATGAAACACTCGAGCAATAATCGAATGAAAAAGAAGAAAAGTCCGATGTTATGATTACGTCGGTGAGGAGCACGTCTACGGCCTCCTCGGTCCTGCCGGAGACGGCGACCAGCCGGGGCAGGTCGTCGTTGGGCTGGCCCCCGTTGACCTTCTCCTTGGGATTGGACTTGAGCAGGACGTGGGCGTTGGCCCCACCGAAGCCGAACGAGTTGATACCAGCCAGGCCACCGTTCCACGGCGTGGGCTCGGTGACGACGCGCAGCCTGCCCTCCTCGAGGGCCTTGATGCCCTTGCGCACGTTCTTGAAGTGAAGGTTGGGGGGTATGAGGCCGGTCTCCATGCCTACGACGACTTTGGCGACGGAGCAGAGGCCACTTGCGGGCTCCGAGTGGCCGAGGTTGGACTTGATCGAGCCGATCCAGAGGGGCTCGTTGCGCCCGGTGCAAAACACGCGGTCGAGGGCGTTGACCTCCTCGGGGTCGCCGACCTTGGTCCCGGTGCCGTGGGCCTCGATGAAGTCGATGCTCGAGGGTGGGACGCCTATCTCCTCGTAGAACTCCTCGAGCAGCTTGCCCTGCATGTGGCTCGAGGGGAAGGTGATGCCCTGCTCCTTGAAACCGTCGCAGTTGGTCTTTGCGTGGACGACCGTTGCGTAAATCCGCTTCGCGTCCTTGGCCTTTTGCAGGAATATCATAGCTATGGCTTCGCTGCGCGTGTACCCGTTGGCCGATTCGTCGAAGGACTTGCAACGACCGTCCGGCGACAGCACGCCTTTTAACCACATTGTTATACATATATACATTTATACGTTTCATTACATAAATCCTCCGTATACATATTTGTATAGATCATTGGTGCTTTTGAAACTTTTCTCATTTTGCTCGAAATGTCTACATGTCTCGTATTGTACTGTGTACTAGTGACGTGCCATGTGCTTAATACAACTTTTTTCTTTTTTCATTTTTTTTATTTTATTTACAATATCACTCAAGTCAAATGGATGTACGGTATATAATACTATTTTAACTCACCGAATCAAAAGTAACCATTCAACACTATTAAATTTTTAAGCAACACGAGAATATTTACTCAAGCAGTCAATTAATGCAATGGTGCACCTTCCGTCGTGCCCCCTTTTTTTTCAGCATAGTTTTTAAGATAAAGTGTACAATAGTATTCGTTACTTTCGGAAACAATGAGACACACTTTTTGGGATTATTTTGAATGCCAAAGGAATATTTTCCAACAGAATTCCAAATAATTTTCATGATTCTCTATACAGGCAAAATTGATTTTAATTGGAGAAATGAAATGAATGTCTAAAACAGCAACGTCATGTGTTGGAAACTTTTTTCTTTTTTTTTTTTTTTTTTTTTTTTTTTTTTTTTTTTNAAAAAAAAAAAAAAAAAAAAAAAAAAAAAAAAAAAAACCTGTTCAATGAGGTTGTACTTGAAAATAATAAAAAATTAATTTTTTTCCAACTACAGCGAATTAAAGCTCAAAAAGCATGAGAACGAAATGCGCGTGTGTGTGTGGATATTATAGCTCACCAAGCCTCGAAAACTGGAGCGAGACGTAGGGATGGAGGCATAGATTGCAGCCACCCACGAGGGCTGCGTCGCACAGTCCATCCCGTATGGCTCTGTACGCGTGCTCCAGGGCAAATAAGCTCGAGCTGCAGGCCGAGTCGACGGTGTAACTGGGCCCGGTGATGCCCAAAAAGTACGAGATCCTATTGGCCAGCATGGCACGGCTGCAACCCGTTATCCCAAACCCGTTGACCTGCAGCTTCTCGTAGAACCAGGTTTTCTCCGACTCGGAGAAACAGGCGCCTATAAAGACGCCGCACCTCTTGCCTCGCATCGTCCGCGGGTTGACCCCGGCATCGACCACAGCCTCGTACGCGTGCTCCAGCAGCATCCGGCACATAGGGTCCATCGTGTGGGCCTGCTTGAAGTGCACCCCGAAGAATAGGGCATCGAACTTTTCGAGGTTGTTTACCTTGCCCGTGTCCTGCGGTATTTCCGGGTGATCTGTCGTCACGGACAATCATATTAACCATATACGTATATAATGATACAACATACGTATACTTTACGTCTGGCACGACGCGTGATATAGCGATGGAAAACGCGCGCTTGTTGTTATCGTTTTTCGTCGTTTTTACATCGAGTCAACCGCGCGATGACGCACGTAACGCCGGCTCGTCCAACTTTGTGCCTTTTAATATTCATGACGTTTAGGTTTTTTGATTTTCAATCGACCACCGCGCGGCTCATTACAAAGTCCGGAGCTTCATTCGCAAGACCTCTCTCTCTTTTTTTTTTTTTTTTTCATTCTTTTATTTTCGCTTCATGCAAAAAAGCTTTTCATCGTGTGGCAGTTAAACGGATCGCTGCAAAGTGGGCATATGTGACCAATGTTGGAAAGTATATTAATCGTGTGCACGGTATAACACGCACAGAGTCACTTTCCGAGCACGGAACTCATGTACATAAAAGAGGTCAGGATTAAAAATTGTAATGAACGATTTGAAATTACGATTCATCAAGCCTAAGGTAATTATAGCCATTACAATGAGTATGGAGGATTCGGGTCACTCGAAAGTATAGCCGTCCAAAGTTTCAAATAATAACGAACGCGTTACGCAACATTGTCGCGACTTACGGGTGCTCGTGAAACATCGCAAAGTACAATTTTCATGCAACGTATGAATGCTGGTATACTTGGGGAAATTTTTCCATACTATTACTTGACTCGCTATCGAAAACTCCAAGTTTAACCATTTTCATTACGTGATTTCGGGCGTGACAATCGGCATATTTTGTACGCGGCTAAAACCGATATAAACGGATGCAAGGTGTCTTGGATGAACAAAACAAAAATAAATAAATAAACAAATGAATAAAAGTAAAGCATAAAAAAGGGGGCCATCGGCTTACTTAGTTTCCACCTTCGATCGTCGTCTGTAATGAGATCGAGCTTGTTCATCAAGTTTTCCTGAAAATGCCTCATGTCGTTTGACTCCGGAAACCGGCCGGCAATGCCGCTGATGACGATCTCCTCCTCGGGCGGGACCTTCTTCAGCCTCGGCACCTTCGGCCTCTCGCAATTGACCGTCGACATGTTCCCGATGTACTATTTACTTTTAGCTCACTGCTCTTTTACTCGTATGTACAACGTATGGTCTATTTTATCAGGTGTACGTGTATTGTGTGTATACTTTTGTCGTTGTCGCGATTTTCCAATATCTCACTATTCGCACCACCACCACTGTTGTAAACACTCGCGCTCGAGTATTGTTATGTTGTTATTTTTTTGCTTTTTTTTTTTTTTTATTATCTTGAATTATTTCTTCCCTGTCCTTCCCTCTGCCCAGCTTATCGTTGCGTGGCGCGATATGTATATATTGTTTGAGGAGCGGGTCACCCCGAGCTGCAACCTTTCAATGATCGTTTCGGCTATCCCGTAGAAACCCCTCGGGGGTCGTCTATATAGAGTGAAAAAAAAAAACCAAAGAAAGAGGGAGTGGGGGAGGGGGTTGACACGAGGGCACGGTGGTACTCTCGCGTCGCAGTGTCAGTATATGGAGGGAGCGCGAGTATTATTGCAACTGGGACGCCGCGCTGGCATAGGAAGAGCTTTTATAACAGCGGTCTTTTCTCACGGTACACATGGATAGGATTGGTATAGATAACCAAGTGGGCGCACCTATATACATATATATATATGTATATATTATGTATATACACCACATGTATGAGGCATTTAGGCAGGGGGTCCCGGGTCGATCGATGCTCGACCGATGGCCGAATTAGAATGCCCGAGTCGTCGAACCGATCTTCGCTTCTTGTCTATATGAGTACGTATATTTATATATATACATGCATGTGAGTGTGTACGTTTACACATGTATGAGGTGATATTGAACATTTTTATTAATACGATCTCGAATACTATTTTTTTTTTTTTTTTGTTTTTTTTTTTCCATTTCGTCTCATTCATTTGGGACGCATGGAAAAGGTTTCTGGCAAAATATACAGCGTTGGAAAAATAAAAATTTTTTTTGTTTTTGCGATTTTCTATCATTGTTGCCTTATTTTGATCTAACCAGGGTAAGTAAGAAATAATTAATAAATCAATCGGTAAGATGTTGATCTGATCTAAAGTGCCCATTTAAAAAAATAGGTAAAATTAAAAATCACGTTTCACCATCCATGTCCACTGAAAATAACATCATCTAGAGCCGATTCATTCAGTTCAATCGACCGTGACTGAATTTACTTGAATCTGCCTTTTTTTTTTTTTTTTATGAAGAGCAGATACATAATATTGTAATAATATCTTGTGTCACTTTTAACTGTTCGACCCTCAGTGGCCATAGGGGAAAGCATTTAAAGACTCCTGCCGCGACAACACATAGGGGCCCCCCTTCCATTTAAATCCATGTAAACTAACAAGTTTAAGTACGCCATTTCTTATGTGGCAAAAGTTACAAATTACATGAATTTAAAAAGTAGAACACACTCTTTATTTGTACATTTAAACTTGTAGGTATTATCTGTTAAAAAAAAAAAAAAAAAAAAAAAAAAAAGTAAGCCGTTGATAAATTACAAAACTTGTTTTACGATATTTTAAACGTTTTTACCCATTGTTCGGTATACCTACCTATACCTACTCGAGAATGAAAATTACAGCGCTTGGCTTTCACGAGTAGATACCTAGTTTACGGTAATGGCGATGAAATTATCATTTTTTTTTTTTTTTGTGTTGTGAATGTAGAGCTCACTTTTAGTTTAAATTTTCAAATAAATTCTCAAGCCATTAAATTAATGAAGGCTCTTCCTCCCTCCCAAAAAAAATCGAATGTCAATCGAAAATTTTTAAAAATCGATTAGTAAATGAAAACCTTGAAAGCCTTAAATATATCCATGTAATATTATAATGTTGGTTAAATAAAATTGTAACTCACGAGTTATATGTTTAGAAGTTTAAGGAGTAGGTATGAGATGTATAAGCAGTTGTTGCAAAGCAAATTATTTCCTACGCGTGTCCGAGAAGTGGGTAATTGCTTCATATGGGTATATATGTATAAGTACTTGCTTTTTGATGGACAAACGAAAAGTGAGAGCAGGGGTGCTTGGGTGGCGGGAATAAGCGAGTACCTACTTTAATGTTGCCCGAGACCTGAGCGCGCAAATAAAACGCCTGATGGTCAGCCGACGCTGGAATCTGCATTTGCTCGGTAATTATGCGTACTCGTATCAGCGCCAAGCTTTCCAAGAAACAATAGAAAATTCGAAAGAAGAAAAAAAAAAAAAAAAAAAATAGAGTAAAGGAAATTTTAATTGTTGTCGATGATGCTAATCGCGGAACGAGTCATCGCATGAGCGCCCGTCTCCGTTTTCCACGGGTGGCAAAGACCAGTCTGTACTGCCAGCCAACATGAATCGAAAAACTGCCAATGGGCACGTCTTTTCCCATACGATGTCATTCGTCCAAGGGAATAAGACGCGCCGCCACTTGGGTAACAGGTTTAGGGTAGCAGTTCGGCCAATTTACATATTGATAATTGTCCCTTTTTTTCATCCAAACGTATTACCTTTTCATCACGTTCCAAATTGGCATTTTTATTCTTCCCGATCGACGTCGCGATATACCTACGTTTGGCGAAGTGTAACTTATTAGGTAGTGTAACCTATATATACAGAACCAGTTCTGTTCGGTTCCCTGTATTATATAGGTATATTTTATTAAGAGAACCGAACCAAAAGTGGCTTGAACAAATCTACTGATTTACTTCATAGTGGTCAGACAATTTTTTTTTTTTTTTTTATGAACGAATGCCTTGCAACTGACTGAAGTAAAGTATTTTTGAACTACTCGTAAATAGTAAAAATCTTCTCAAACCCAGAATTTTTATAGTTTTAAGAAAAAACGTTTATCATGATTATATTAACGTTGTCATTGAGTAAATACGTAAAAAAATCTAAAATGTTGTTGATGCTTCGGCAGAGGGAAAATAGGTTGCGAAACTTTTAACCGGCGCGCATAGTAAGCATCCAAAAGTTTAAAGTCAATGCATTCGATTGGAATAACCATGTGTATGCAAACAACCAAGAAGTATAGCCACCATTCAATAGCTCGTATCTATATACACCTATATTTATAATACACGTACTTAGCCGGTCAGCACAGACGATCGCAAAAGCTTAAATGTGTATAGGCGAGCTCGATGAATTTTCGGTTGGTTGTCCCGTCGAATAGTCCACCTCTTTTTTCGTTGCGTTTTAATTCGTGTCCGACGAAAAAGCGAATAAAAGGCAAGGGAAACACGAGCAGCGCGTAAGCACTAATGAATATGGAGGTCGAGGTATCGTCGATACAGCGTGGCCAGTGTCAAGGGTTATTGGATGGATGTTGCATTGGATCTACATCTACTCAAGCTCCCTCCGATTTATACTTTTATGAACTATATTTATTTATTTATTTATTTATTTATTTTTTTTTACTCAATTTTTAAAATCTTTTATTTAACTGTAATTTAACATATATTTATATTATTTTATTTTAATGATAATCAGATCAGTAAACGAAACAATAATCTCAACGGTGACCAACGTATGGATTAATATTCATAGCTAAACTTCCGAAAACATGATATCTCTATTTTTTTCTGCTCATCGAAAGTATGTGATTTTCCAAAGATGTGGCTTTTTTTATAAAAAGGTACATCCATTAATTTTTTGCGGTCAGTTGCTTTGAAAAATTTTGATTTAAATATTTTCTTCATTTACATGGACATGCCTGATCAAACGAAACATTTTTTTTTGTACTTAATTGCACGATAGAAAAGAAAAATTTGTTGCGCGCACTTTATCTTGTAATATAAACTTGGAATAGTTTTCGTCGGTCATATAGTACAATGATCGATTGTGCCAAGACATCATTCGGTGCCTCACCTCGTTAACCTTTTTTTTTTTTTTTTTTTTTTCCATCAGATTTCAATAAGATAAGTAGGTACGGCGATTTGGGGCGATTCAAGTTGTCACCGAGCCTCTTTGGTCAAGCGAATCGGTAAATCAGTGTAGATGTACAGATATACCCTAATTATATTGCAAACATGTCAGTTGACCCTGCTCTCTCCATTAACGTATTAATACATGCTAAGGCCATTCTATGAATTAAACAAGTAAATTTTATTTTTTGTAAACGTGGAAGCTTTTTAATGCATAAAAAATCATAGTTCGGGAGAATTCATAAATACGTTTTCTTAACGACAGTATCATAAACAGTAAAGGCTGTAGTATTTGGTATTTTAATCTTGTCAGCCAAAAAAAGTACACATTGTTTCTACTTTTTTTGAAATTTTATTTTAATTTTCTCTAATTTCTAAAGAATTAAAAAAA